AATAGATGTCACAGGTTTAACCATCGAAAAATTATAAAAATTACGAATAAATGATATAACGCCCGTATATTATTACCAGCTTTGCAGATTTTACGTTTAATTTTTAAGTTTAAATTGAAAATACACTACCATATGATACTCTGCACGGGATAGAAAAGTTTGGTATATATGAATGTACTTATAATGTTATAACGCCCAACCCCTATAATTCGCATACCGAAGTATCGCATTACCTAGTGTAAATTGGCTGAGTGCACTTGGTAAGTGCACTCAGCCAATTAGTGCTCTAAATCTTTTTAGAGCTAAGCTCGTCATGGTTAATAACAAATAATAATTCATTCATCATTTTCTAAGATGAAGCAAAGTATATTTTACCTTTTTGGTGGCTCTTCCAGGTGGACTCTGACCAAGGGATGCTTGTTTGCAGGAGCTTACTAGAATCTCAATCAAAGCTGCTTCCTCCTTGTCATCTAGACCTTTATACACATAGTAAAAGTTACTGACTGATTTGCACAAAGTAACTATGAAATGTTAATGGGTTACTTAGAGTCAATGCACTTGTACTGTGGAACCCAATCAAAGAAGTAGTAACTATTAGTTTACTATTTACTGCTAATTGTATCCAATAGCCWTATTTTGATCATATTTCACAGTACAAATGTGTCTCTTGTATTAATGGCAACTATAAGATTTATATGCTACTACTACTAATAAGTCTTACTAACATCTGTAGTGTTTGTCGTTATTACTTGGAGTTATGGAAAAGTTACATACAAGGAGATAATCATTGCACCTTCATCTGTAGTTCATCAATTCCTTCTAATAGTTCAATTAAAACAATTCACTAAAAACCACCCATTTCAGATCTATATCATCATAATGTCATTATATGAACCCTTTGTAGAACATTTTGTAAATCTAGTTTTTTGCTATGACTTCTTGAACAGTACCCAATTCAGCCATGTGGTTGCAATTTATAGTCTATGTTTATTAAAAAATAGATAGTTTAAAACTATCTATCTATTTAGCTCTTTTAGCACATGAAAATTTACCGAACTACYATTTGCAAACTTCTAAAGTGCATTTTTCTCAAACAAAGTTTTGACTTCAAAATGTCTTTCACACTTAAAAGATGTGGGCGCAACACTTGATATTAAACAATGGATATAACTAGAAATAACTACAATCATATTAGTATGTGTTTACCACTTTCATCAGTTTTGTCCTCCAACAACATGTCTGTCATAAGTTTCCAGTCCTAAAATCAAGAATAATCTTGRTAGTCATAATATCCATCAGTAGCATTTCAAGATAGCACAGCATTTCCCTTCTTTTAAGTAAACTGTGAAGTTGTACCTTTATAACAGGCATTGTGCTCCATAAGCTATCTACAAGATAAGCTCCATGATGATGAACTTCACTATTGATGAAAAACTCCAGTAACTTCTTAATTTGAGTGACTTTAGTTTCTTTATCAGATTTTTTGGCCACTAAATCACCTAATCAARCAGATCAAGAACCATTTTCATTTATCTTTTGTAACATTTTACCATAGCTTTGTACATTACTGCCACAGGGAGCAACATACACCAAGACTTTGCATACAGTTACTGAATAAAATATACCAAATGAATATTGCACATCACACAGATAATTAGTAGACATTCCTATCATCCTACAGCACATATACCTTTTTTAGATCTACTGGAGATCTGTTCATCTGCAGCATCTTTGATTCTCTTGTATAAGAATTGACCTGCTGCATGTGCTACTTGCCTGTGTGTACAGAACACTAACAACTGTATCTGTTGGCAGTCTTCTTCATCAAGTTTCTCATATCTGAACAGGTCAACACCATACCATCAAAATTACATTATAAGAAAAGGTTTAATGGTATAGTTCACACATTTCAAAGGTTGTCAATTTTGTTGTTTCTGRATGAAAATGTCCTGTTACAGTCAAAAGACATGAGGTGCACCATAGCCGAGGCATTTATAGTTTTTACCATCATTCCTTTCTCATCCAACTAAGGTAGAGACAACATATTGCAATCCATCTAGTTGTAAAAATTACAAAACCCCAACATGTTCGCCAGCAAACTAGGAAAAAAGCTTTTGGCTGAAGGTTTATAACATTTAGGAAGATCCRATCMATAATCCCATCAAAGTTTGAATTCAAATTTGATTTCAATAATGTAATGTTCAGCTTTGGGTTCATGTCTTTTGACTGTAACATAGCTTTTGATRTCACTCATCATTTTCTCTATGGCTTTGCATGTCTTACTTTGGTACAATTATAACTTACTGGTATTGATAGCCTGTGAGCTTGACAGCTTCAACAGCAACTTCATTGTCTTTATCTAATGTCATACTGACAAATCTATCCTATAGAATAAAAAAGTTAGCAGAGTTTGTGATGGTTTTTAAACTCGAAGATTGCAAAGCAATTGAAGGGTTATTGGAGGGGAAGAAATCTGTCACTCACTCACTTTCCTGTAAACTTTCCTGCGTTACTTGTGTTCAGAATTATTTATATATTCTAATTACTTTATAGTAATTTATTCACTAATTTTTCCATGTACTATATTTCATTGAATTTATTTATTTTTTAGCAAATAAAGAAATCAAAGAAATATAGGTCATCTGGGACTTGAACCTGGGCCCGCTGGATCAGATATCAAAGGCACTACCASTCGGCCRCACGTGCTAACGTTACTCAAAAGTGGCTAAGTGTTTTAACTGGCAGTTGCCTGCCCCTGCTTGTCTAGAATTGAAGTTAAAATAATAAGATTCTAACGAAAAAAAAACTGTATTCGAAAATCCTTTACTTAAAATTCTATTTGTAAAGTAATTATAATTTGATTGTTCTATTGTTCAGTCACAAAGGAAGCATGAGGAAGACTTGCCAATTTGAATAATTCGTTTAAAAAATCTTTTTGTTTGTTTTGTTTATCCATGTTTGTCTACAAATCAAAAAATGTATTCACTCACGAAGGTACTACTAAACTGTAATATTGTAATATTTGATATATAGTATATTGTGTGGTTTGATATCTATAATACTATTTAGAACCACTATGGAAACTGAACAGTGGTGCCGTACAGTTGGTMATCAGGATTCAATCRAACCAACTTTCAGTTATTTAATTCACTGTTACGGAGTAAGCATTTTTAAAAGAATTGCTGGAAAAAGTGATTGATAATAAAAAAGAAAGAAAGAAAGAAATATTATCATCTCTTGGGAATTGAACCTGGGCCATTTGGTCAGAATGACCACATTTTAACCACTGAGCTATGATGGCAAATGCTGCATAAYCATGGCTAAGACTTGGATTTATTTCTCCGGCACTCCCTGTGCTTATCCACAACGAAAATAATAAGATTTTAACAAAAAAAATATTCATAAGTCATTTACTCAAAATTCTAGTTGTTAAGTAAATTATAATTTGATTCATTGTATCGTTCTGTATTCGTCTAAGCAATCAATCGAGTTATTAAAATTTTACTGTAACATCAAGCACAAGAATTGATTACCGTATTTACTCGTGTATAAGCTGCTCTCATAGAAAGGCTGCACCCCGAGTTTTGGGAACATTTTTGAGGGGGRAAAAAAGAAGAAAAATAAACTTTTCCGTTTGTGATCGCCACCTGCGAACGCCATAGCTTTCATTCTCTCCATGATATCCGGTGATTAGCAACATTTACCTTAAATCTACTGGTTAATGCATCTAGGTGTGGGACAAGATCTTCATCTTCATAAAGCCCAAGTAATGCTTGAATGGACCTTAGCCGAACTTCTCCAATCTAATAATGAATAATAAATATAGCAATTTGTATATGGTTTTCAAAAACATTATAAATGAGTTATTAGGCTAATAGAATGAGCCTATTTGGTCACATGCATGGACCTTTGTATCTGATAATTAAAAACACTCCTTATAAGTATTCTTTATATAAAGAATATTTATTATTATGGGCCACTTACCTGTAATTCAGTTATACTGTGAAGGGTATGATTAAACCTATTTATTATTATTAATATTAATAAGGGTGAACTTTATCAGATATAAAGGTCCATGACCTAGAAAAGCTCTCTGGTTTTATACCTGATCATTGAAAACCAAATGCAGGATGTCAACTGATTGCAGTAAAACAGCCACCAGCACTTCTGTTTTACTTATATGCGTATTCAATGTGGTATGATAAGAGTGCTTTGTAAACTGATTTGCGCATGATCAGTTTGCCCCATTTGTCTCATAACTTATTTTACGGCAATTTCTACAAGAATTGGATCTTTATACTACCGAATCCACCTTGGTGAGGAATGATGYAGAAATTGAGTGTGAAATGGAGTTTAAGTTAAAAGCTTTCTTTACATTACATAAAATTACAATTGGGAATTTGTGATATGTCTAACTGAGCAAATGTTGTCAGGATTTCATTATATTTTCAGTGGATTAACTCTAATTTTATTAAAACATTTCACAACGGTTGAAAGGTGATGTCAGACCACGAAGGAATTTCAGGAATTTAACGACAAAAGTGGGCGGAGCAGACATATAAAAATTTGTGCCCATTCCACACTACCATGGATTCGATAGTACCTGATAAAACACACACTTCTCTCTCTCACTCTCTCGTGTTTTAAACTATACTATAATAGTATGTATGTAAACAGGCAATACCATCTACTCTGATGAGAAGAGGAAGTTTTCCTCTCCCTTCAGGGGAATGCAGGCTATACCAAAATCTTTCTGACCATAAAATGTTCATACCCACAGGTTTTAGATTACTTAAAAGTGTCTAAACCTACTTATTACCTTATCGTGTAAGTTCCAAACTATATATTTTAAATATCTGTCATTAAGGAACAAAGTGCTGAAAAGAAATGAGGCCACAGTGAGATGGGGAAAAACTGAACAGATAAGTAAAAAAATACTACAGTAGGTATTATATGAATGAGAATAATATTTTATTTCATTTCCTAGGGGGTAACCTGATTTYCTAGGGGGGTAAAACACAATTTTGGAATTCCTAATGAGGAGGGGATCCCAATTTCGGAATTTCCTAAGGAGAAGTATGAATATTTCTGGAACTACCATTACTGGTATCATTTGTATCTCATTTTGCTAGATGGGCACTTTAAAATAAAGTTGTATTGCATTGTGGTTTAAGAACACCTGTATTCCTTCATCCATTCACCAATCTCTGAAATACACAAAGCTCTGATCTCTGGTCTTGAATCTCTGTAGATGAAATAGCTCATATATTAACCCATTAACTTCAGTTGTTAGCTATATCAATGATATGATATACATGCAAATCAAAACAATGTGGAAAATGTAACAGTGAATAGGCAGAGCCCGGGGGGGGGGTACTCCCATATATTTGCTATACGGGGACGTGCCGCTGGCCAGGGTATGGTTTTTGGCCTTGCTGTCTTAAACAGGGTATACATTTCACCCGAAATTGTCTTAAACAGGCTCTACAATTTAGATAAAAGAGACCGATATAATT